ATCTATCTATCTATCTATCTATCTATCTATCTATCTATCTATCTATCTATTATCAAATACCAAAGGAAAGAGATATATGTATTTAAGAAAAGAAATTTAGCTGTAAGGCATTCTGCTTAAAAAAAAGCAGTATCCACTATAAAGAAAAGAAAAAGAAAAAAACATTCCAAGAAATAAAAGAAAATTGGCTGGAAACAATTGGGAAGAGGAAAAAAAAACATTGGATTTTGCGTCAGTACAAAATCATTCCACCCTTTGTTTAAAGCCATAAGTTCACATCCATCAGTACATGCAACAGTTAAATCACAATTTTTCATGCTTAGGCAATGTCATGAACATTTCCCTTCCATTGTTTTCTTTTCATAATCATAAATTAGCAAAGGAACTGGTGGGTAAGCAGACTGATGCTTTGTCTAGCTATGCATTTTGCCTACCATTCTCAGAAAGACATGTCTCAGCTTCCGGTTTGAGCTTCTTCGGCGACAGACAAAAATCCGTGATCGTGCATGATTTCGGTCTGGGCTCGCCGTTGGAGCGCCCCGAGCTGGCTGGTTTCGGGGCTAAGCCACCCTGTAGAGGTGGTGAAGAGGGTGGAGACTGCCAGCAGGGTTGAGGAGAGCCACATCTCTCCTCCTCAGCTGGCCATTACTCCCTTTCCTGAAGGCAGTTGCAGCGGTGGTCAGAAATGGCCACCTCAAAGAAGAACTTGACTGGAAAAGAATGTGCAGGAGGAAGATAAGAAGTGAAAGTTTTGGCTGACTGGGTTAAATTGCAAAAGCAACAACTAAGGTATCCTGGAATTTAAACTTACAAAAAAATAACATCGTTCCCAAAGAAGAGCCTGAAGCAGTGAAGGAAAGTGAAAAGGGAAAGGTTTGGGGTTTTTTTCTTCTCTCCCTTTCCCTATACTGACAAGTAAGAGACTTAAATAAGAAATTGGAAAAATCCGCTTTGACATTAACAGGCAATTAAACTGAAAATAAATACAAAATGTCAAAGGGATAATAAAGATTTCTGAACACTAAAAATTTTTTTTATAAACAGGAAAGCAGAGAAAAAGAATAAAAGGGCAGGATCTGGAAAGAGGGAGGAGACTGCCTGGAATTAAAAGGAATCTACAGTAAAACTTCAACAAGACAGATACATTTTACAAAAGATACATTTTAACTGAAACTTGGCAACTAAACAGTAGAACCCCAGGAAGAGTGAAAAAAAGCAAAAAGAAACAGCTTGCGTGTATTTGGATTACTTGGTGATCTTTGGATTCTTGGTTATTGCATTTGAATGACTAAAATTAATCGGGTAGTTGTTTAAAAATTTATACAATGGCACTACTTCTGGATGAATTGAAAACGGAACTTAAAAAGTACAAAGAAGATGAATAAGAAGGGAGGGGTTCTTTTGGCTTCGTTTTTCAATTCTTAGAAATGGAGATTTGGAACTATGAGAAACAACAAGAAAAGTCTCCAAAACAAGAAGACTGGGACAAAGAAGAAGCCATCTTTAATGAACAAGTAATTCTATGTGGGGAAGAAAAAGGAAAGGGGGGAAAGAGAATGGAGAATTTAAGACTTAAAAAAACAACCAAAGAAAAGAAAAATAATTCGAAAAATAAGTATAATACTGGAAAGCAACAGAAGAGGGGAATACAGAAGAGAGAAATAGAGGTAGAGAGACAAGGAGGTAAAAAGGAGAGAGAGAAGAAGAGAGGGAAGAAGGAAAGGAAAAGAAGTTACAAAGGACTGAAACAAGATATAGAGAAACAGGGCCTATTTAGAGATAATGGGTGAAAATTTAACTGAAAAAGGGATTCTGTAAAGGTACATAAGATTGTATTGTTATATTAGTAATAGAAAAAACTTTAGAAAATTGGAAACAATGTATGATTAAAATGAGGAATAAAATAGTTAGTGTAATTTAGTGAAATGTTTGTTAATAAAACAAATGAAATAAAATAAATGAGAAAATTGAATTAGGAAGGGACGGGAACATTTTAATTAGTTA